GCTGACTTTCCCTTTTGTGGCTAACGAAACATCCGCAGCGATGCTGGGAAAAAAAAAATCTAGGGTCGCTCATGTAGCGCGGTGCTGAGATTCTGTTTAGACAGGAGTATTTGGAGTCTAAAGTATGCGTGTGGAGGGGGGGTTGTTTGTTTTTGGGGGGGGAGGGGAAGGTTTTTTCAAAAAGACTGCGAACGAGAGTCTTGGTGAATGAACAGCTTTATTCATCGAAAAAGCTCTTCTTGCTGCCCGCGTGTTTTGTTTGTTTGTTTTTGCCATGGAAGAAACAAAAACGCTTTGAAAACCTTTCCTTACTGAAGAAGGCTTTGTGGTCAATATCTGCTTTGTGTACGGATGGTGACATTGAGGTTGTTTAGGTGTGTGCTGTCGCCTTTTGCAATGGCAATGATGTCTTTGGTCAGTTTTTGCAGCTAGTGGTCCTGTGCTTCTGACCCCAGAGTATGCGCTATTCAACAGTAAATTAGCCCTAAAAACTTAACTTTAAAGGTTTGCCTAACTTGGCAGTTTTTTATGAATTCTCTGAATGGAAAGTATCTCGCAATTGGTAGCGAAGTTTGGCACTATCTGTAGGAAGGTAGGTGCTGTATCTCTTGTGTGAACAGATGATGACATTCATATGCTTGGAAAGAAGGTATGGTGTTCTGTTCTGCTAAGCGTTTTTTGACTTCTACGTGTCCATCACTTAACAGTTCTTGAAAAAGGCTTTTTTTTTTTTTTTAAAGCTTTCTATCAATGCTTTTGACTACAACTGTCACTTGGATCTGATAAAACTGCTCCGCCAGGAGGGAGAGCTGGTAAAGCTCAGAAGAGCTCGTCAGAAGATGAGTGAACTCTTCCCGCTTACTGAAGGTATAGAACGTGTTCAGCTAATGTTGCAGCTACTGCTATTTAAGCACCATCTGCGTGAAATGTAGTAGTGAAATGTTTCAGTATTCAGTTTCAGTAGTGAAATAGTCAGGTCTCAACACTGAAGTTTCAGACCAAAGAAGCCCAAAAGAGCAGACTGGGGACTCTTTAAACTCTGAGCAGTGTTGGTGTTGATGGCCAGCGTTGACCTTGGGCTCTGGCAGATGCACTGCAGGAATTCAAATTTTTACCGCTTGCAACTGCCTGTGCTGTCCTCTGCCAGAGGTTACTGCTGTATAACGGAACTGGTGGGAGGGTACGTGTCCATGTTTGTGCGCGCATGCATGCGTGCCCAGCTACTCCAGTTTATGGCCTGTTAGCCTAAGCTGCTGGAGAAGATGACTTGCTGCCAGGGTGTGAGCTGCTGCAGCCCAGGAGCAGGCGCGTGTTTGCTTGTGCTCGCTTTGCTATGGGGTTGGTAACATACAGCTGAGGGATGGCGGTACAGAAATGGCTGTAGTCATTTATTCAGTGAATGTGACTCAGAGCCTAGACAGACTGTCAAAAGTTAATATTTTTGTTTCCTTCCTGTGCAATTTATGTTAGTGGAAGCTGTAGATAGCCCTTTGTGTGTGTGTCTTCCCCCCCCCTTTTTAAATTCGTAACAAATTCCGAGGTGGTATAAACATTGCAGAGGCTGTTCTGCCACTTTCCTTTTAGCAAAGGCAGGGGAAGATTTCCCCTTTATGTTTCAGGAACTCTGCAGCCTGTAGTGCTGGTTACTGGTGGCGGGGGTGGTGCTTGTTGTTGTTGTTACTTTTTTGTTCTTAAAGTTTCAGGAAAGATATATCTCTTTATGCCTCTTTGGTTGCTGGCACCACGCTGATCTTCTGCCCAAGGTGTTGATGAGTCACTGTTTGCATCTTCTGCTTTCTTAAAATACAAATGTACTTTTTTAGTACCAAGTTGGAAAAGTCTGTACCGGACTTCTCATTTAAATTAAGCCTGAGTAATTGTGGAGGCCAAACTCGCTCTCTTCTCCCCCTTCCCTCCCTCTGTTTTTTTAAGGAATGTGACTTAAAATCTGTCCACAATATTCAACAAGTGGGTTTGACTTAATCTTTCTGAATGCTGGTGATGCATTCTAAACTTCTTGCTTTCAGAAATTTGGCTGGACTGGTTGAAGGATGAGATAAAAATGGCTTCTGAAAGCTCTGAGCGAGAGAAAGTTTATGAGCTGTTTGAGAGAGCCGTGAAGGACTACATCTGTAAGTTGTTAATATATCCTACAAAAGGTGTAGTGTTGCATTTGGGTTATGGCTTTCCTTTTCCAGGAGAGTTTCTTCCTTTTCCTGTTGCTGTTATAATGCAGAAAATGGATCAAAATATTAGTATGAAATAGTCCTCAGTTTTTCTGTAGCAAAGCAATTAACAAGTCTTGGCTTTAAATGGCCTTCATGTACCACTGCAGTCTAAGGTTTTCTAGAAAGATGTTGCAAAAAATTGTAAATGCTTTTTTCACATTTCTCTGATTTCAAAAAGCAGCAAATATTATGCATACTTTGCTGGCTTTTCATCAACTTTTTACCTGCAGACAGTGCCTCCTGTGTTACCCATTAAGGGTTCTTTAGCTCTTCCTTTTTGGAAGAAGAATGCTTTTAAAAGGCTGGCTTCTGCAGTCATTTTCTGTGTTGCTTACTGCTGCCCTTACTGTTGTTTCCACTGTGTGACAGCTCTTTCGGAACAGGTCGCAGATACTGCCTTGGAGACGGCATTCTCAAAACCCTGCTAAATAGGTGACTCTTGCCATGCTGCAGTGCTAGTGCCTTTTCATTAAGAAGGAGAGAAGTGTGTGGGGCCTTGTCTTTCCACTTGTCAGGACCTCACTGCTGCCGTGTGCCGAGCTGAAGCACTGAAGAATCTTATTCTTTTGGGGTGTTGTGGTGACAATCCCCTGAAAACAGGTAGCCTGAAATGAGTAGTAGAGGGAGGACATGGTAGCATTGGAGGAAAATCACTTGCAGAAGCTATACATAGTGTCACGTTACTGCACCAGCGCAGCTGACGCTGCAGGGTGTTTTTGATGGTTCAGGAAGAAGGACTGTAGAGACCCATCTGCTGAATGGGTTGTGCTTAGGGTTTGGAAAGACTCTTTTTTTGGAATTTGAGTTTTGCAGTGTAACATCTGTTGGTTGATCATCTCTACTAGGGTCCTTGATTTGCTCGAGGACTGCTATTGGAGGGATGGGTGCTGGGCAAGCTAAGGCCATTCTGGCACCTCCTCCTCGCCTTCATAATTATGCTGCTTAAGCAGTGGCTGAACAGGCAGTTATGGGAATCTAGGAAGAGGACCTACCTTCATCTCTGACTTCTCTAGGAGTGTGACAGCTTCGTGGTCCCAGCTCTGTGCACGTGCTCGAGAGAAGTGCTGTCGGGCGCTCTTGATGTACCTCTTTAATGTAGCTTGCATGCCAGAGGTGGCAAATGGAGTCTGTCAGTGCCAGTAATGACCACAATGGTGACCTCTTTCAGAAGAGAAATTTTTAGCTGCTGGTGCTGATACAAGTCCCTAGAATTTAGGGTTTTTTTTCCCTCCCGCTACGTTGGGTGATAAGGACAATTCACGTATCTTGGTCTGTTTGTATGCTGTGAGTGATGGGTGTTCAGGAAGTAGAGGCATGTTTTTGTTTGTCTGAGGAGGTTAGGTTATCTGTTTCTCACGAATCTTTATAGGTCCTGAAATTTGGCTGGAATATGCCCAGTATTCAATTGGTGGCATCGGACAGGAAGGAGGAATTGAGAAAGTTCGTTCAATATTTGAGAGAGCATTGACTGCTGTTGGACTGCATGTGACAAAAGGAACAGCATTATGGGAAGCATACCGTGAGTTTGAGAATGCCATATTGGAAACAGCACAGGTAAGGCCAGTTTCCTGGGCTCTTGTCAACTTAAAAGTGGTGGTGGTAGGTTTCTGTAGTCAACTTGTGCTGCTCCATCATCAGTCTCTTCCTAGAAAAGACAAAGCAGTCTCACTTAATTTTTTTTTCCTAGACCAAAGGATCAGTTTCCTAGAGTTGAACAAAGTGTGCATTTAGGTGATATGGTGATAGATCTGTGTTTAAGCAGACTGTAAAAATCTCATATCCAGAAGCAAAAGTGTGCTGCTTTAGCTTCAACTGGCAAGAATAGCTTTAAATTAAGTAACTTCATTGTTAAATAGTAATGTTTTTGTTGTTCAGTATTTGTCCATGTAGTCTAGAAATATAAAGATGATAATTGTCTTTCTACTTCATCTTGGAATTCATTCCTTATTTCACCCTTTTTGTGACTTTTTGGTTAGAGTATATTATCTCTGGCACATACAGGTTTGAAGCCTACAAAAAATACAAGGTGGTTAGAACATCAGTATTCCTATTTCTTGGTGGTTTACTACGTAAGATGTAGAAGTTAACCGGTCACTAATGAAGCTCTAACAAAAAAGTAACTGGAGAACACCCTTTCTCTCTTTCATAAATGGGAAGAAAGTTGGAAGTCTTAAGTTGCTTGTGCAAGCACCAAATTTATTGAAAACCTATCTGGCAGCCCAGCGTCCTATTTGGCATGGACGTGTGCCATATTTTTGTTATTTTCCTATATTTATGTCAGCTTTCGATAAAGAAGGCTTTTTGCGTTCATCCAACTTTTGAGTCTAGCAGCTTCCAGGTTTTTGCTTTTACAGTTGTCACCTGAGATGCTGGTTTGCTGTGTCTGCTCTATAAGGATCAAGTAGTCATTTGGAGCCCGGTTCCCTGCCACATAAGCAATATCCCATCACGTTCAGCAGCTCAGGGTTGAGGGAACTGATTAAATTTCAATCCTTTTGTTTGCAGCCAGCTCCTGGCAGCGTTCCGCTGCCTGAGCAGCAGCAGATGCTCTGCAGCCAGCTTGAGAAGATCCACGCTCTGTTCAGGCGCCAGCTGGGGATTCCGCTGTTAGGTAAGAGCCTGTGCACTTGGAAACATGGCACAGATAAGCTGTCTTATGGTGAGGCAAGCATTAGTTGTTGCTGTTCTTTTGATAGTGCCGTGACAACTGCAGCTTGAGTGTTTCTGTTGTTTAATCAATGACACTTGCCTGTCTCGAGGGACTCTTGAATGATGCATGGATCCTTTTTGTTCAGAAATAATTCTTCTTATTCATTGAAACTTAGGTTTTTTTTATCAGTGTGTTTTTTTAGTACATGATTTGAAGCCATCTAAGCTTTTTTAGGCTACAAGTGATTAGCACAAAACAAGGCCATTAAGAGCAAGGAATTCCACTGTCAAGATCATCAAGAAGCTTGATTTGTGGGTGATAAATACTGGCAGCTGGATCATTAGAATCTTGCCATATCAGGTTCATACTTCCAATTTCCTGAGTCCCTTTCCTTGCCTCTTTGCCTGCTATAATTATAGGAGAAAGTTAAGCACAATTCGTTGGCTTCATTTATATATTGAAAGAATTTGGGTTGGTCTCTTT